ACCTAGGTTTCCTCCTTAGATTGGTAGTGAAAGGTTAATGATCAATGTGAGGTGCTGGGACAGGGCCTGGCACAGTCAGTGCTCTGTAAGAGCGCTGAGGAGAAGACCAACAGCACCAGGAGCTGCTAACAGAGGGGAGGACGGCAGGGGTGGCCGTGTGGATCTCAGTAAAGAGCCCTCCTGGGAGAGGGGGCACAAGTGCAAAGGTCCTGGGGCGGCCACAAGCTAGCACGGCTGGAGGGAGAGAGGCAAAGAGCCGAGCTACGCAGGCCCTGGCAGGAGGGGAGCACAGCAGCCGCCACGCACCCGCAGTGGTTTGTCCACTTATTTCTGCCGGGCTGCGGATCGGCCCGGGCTTGGATCTGCGCAGGCGCGCCAAGCTCGGCGCCCCGCCCATACCGGCTTCTTTTAACTGGGAAAAATGTACACGGGGACTGGGCCGGCATCGGGAGAGCAGGAGTTGTTCTGGTGCCACCTGGGGCTCACACCTCATCTTTTCATTTTTTATTTATAACGAAATAAATTTGCATAACATTTATAAAGCTCACATTTTGGGAGCAAAGAGGAACAAGGGCCCCCAGGTTCCTGCCTGCCGGGACACCCCCAGCTCAGCGCAGCCCAGGGGGCTTTGTGAGGAGCTGCTGGGTCGCTAATGGGCCCCAGATGTGCCCAGCATGGCCGGGCCTCAGACTTGCCGGTGGCCTGGGCACTTGGTCCAAGATCGGCGTTACAGCCGTTTCCTTCCTGGACGATTTGAAAAAAAAACTCCCGGGGGGAGCTAAGGGCAGGGCCAGATCCTGCGGCTACCCCAGTCCTCTGAGCTGCTGCAGACCGAGGGGATATCCCTCAGCTGAAAGCCAACCAGCAGACAGAGGAGGCCGGGGTTAGAAGTTCAGGTAAAAAATCAAGGCCTGAATTGGGGGGCGGGGGGGTAGAGAGGCCTTGGGAATGGGACCCCATGGGGCCTTCATACTAAAACTATGTTCCCAGCCCTTTTGTAAATTTTTATTACAAGACAGGGTCTTACTAAGTCGCTAAACTGCCATCCTCCTGCCTCAGCCTCCCCAAGTGCTGCGATCACAGGCGTGCGCCACCACACCTGACAGCGATGGACCTCTGAGGACTGGCAGGGGATTCGTTAGGTCCCCGAGTACCTCCCAGGAGGCGCGGAGTAAGCACAGCAGAGAAAGGGGGAGCTTCGCAGTAGAACCCGGCGACAGCGCCTTGCACAGGGGTCAGGGCTGACGCCAGGGACGGGCGCTGACCTCACGCGCCTGAGGTGCCGCATTCTGGGAAAAACGCAGCTGCCTCCGCTTCCACCAAGAGCGGGCAACTGAACTCAGTTACAGCCAAACATCAGGAAACTCCAGCGGAGGGACATTCCGCGGAACAGCTGTGCGCACTCGCAGAAACGTCAGTCAGCTGGGTGTGGTGTCCAGGCCTCCGACCCAGCTCTCTGGGAGGCCGAAGCAGGAGGATTGCATACAGCTCAGTGCGAAGGCTCAAAGGCCCTAGTTACTGGGGTGGGGGGTGGGGGGAGAGAAAAGAAAATCAGTCAGGAAAGAGAGAGACAGGCTGAAGGGCTGCCTTGGAATAAGGAACTAAAGAGCCAGGACAAGAAAATCCAATGTGTGATCCTTCGTAGATCCCCCATGGCTTTCTGCGCCCTCCCCTGAAATGCTGCCAGGGCCAGCACTGGGCTGTCAGGAAAGTCTGGTTCCGACTTTGGACTAGAGAAGAGCTCTGCATCAGTGTCCAGCTCCTGATGTAGAGCATGGACCCTGGCTATGGAAGAAAATATTCTTGCCTTAGAAAAGACACGCAAAGCTGGGTGTGGTGGCGCACACCTGTAATCCCACCATTTGGGAGGCTGAGGCGGGAGGATCCCTGCAAGTTCAAGGCCAGCCTGAACTACATAGTGAGACCCTGTCTCAAAACACACCCCAAAACAGCAGAAAATACGTGCAAAGCCAGGTGTAGTGGGACACACCTGTAATTCTGGCACTCAGGAGGCTGAGGCAGAAGGATCACCACAAGTTTGAAGCCAGCCTGGGCTGTATAGTTAGTTCAATGCCAGCCTGAACTACACAGCAAGACCCTGTCTCATACAACAACAACAACAACAACAAAACAAAGAAGAAAGAAAATACATGCAAAAATAATTAGCAGTAAGGACTGGGAGTGAACTCAGGGGTAGAGCACCTGCCTAGCATGTGCAAGGCCCTGGGTTCATCCCTAGCACTGAGGGGAAAAAAAACCATGAAAGAGAAAAGTTTGTTTAGCAATAAAGGATACTCTCAAATGTTTCAGAAACAGTGAACACTGTGTGTAAGAAGAGAAGAGATGCAAACATACCAGTAATAAAATGTTAATACGTGGAAAAATCTGAATGAAGAATGAAGAATCCTAGTTGATTGTATTTATACTACAAACTTTTTGTGTTTGGTTTCTTGAGACAGGATTTTGATAGAGTTCAGGTTGGCCTTGAACTCGCTATGTAGCAAACCTCCTGCCTCAGCCTCTGCAGTGCTGAGATTACAGGTGTGTGCCACCACGCCCAGCTAGTACAACTCTTGTCAGGTGGAAATTATTTCAAAATAAACAGTTTTATTTTGAAATAAATAATAAAATAAAATAATAAAAATAAATAACAAAACAAATCTTAAAAGCCAAGTGTGATGCTACACACCTGTAATCTCAGCTACTTGGGGCTGAGGCAAGACAATTGTATTTGAGGCCGGCCTCAGCCACTTAGTGAGAATCTGTCTTGAAATGAAAGACAGAGAGAGATGGGGGGCAACATTTTTAAGAATTGTGAAAATAAATTCTCCCTCCTTCCTCTGCTGTCTCCATCCTGCCTCCCGCTCTTGGAAACCTCGCCCCACAGGGAACCTGTACTTCCTCCATCGTCCAAAACAAACCTCCAGTTTCTGTGCTCCAGGTGGGAGGAAGCAGAGGCCAACACGCCTGTCCCACCCGCTCCCACCCAGCCCTGTGCTCTGGGCCAGGTCAGCTGTGTCCAACCTCACTCCAGAGGACTCTCCCCAGGGGAGCCAGCCTCCAGGTGGGCACCAATCCGATCTCCATCCCAGAGCCACCGCAGCCCTGCGCTAGGCCCTGTCCCCTGTCGGGCCTCAGCCACGCCTTCTTGTGCCCGCCTGTCTCCCTCCTCCTGACTCCAAACTCCCCTCTCCCAGTGACCGGGGACCCTTTGAGCCCAGGGTGAAGCCGGCTTACATCGCCCTCTTGAAAGCCCAGCTCCTGGCCCTCCCAGGCCTGGCCGGCATCTCCTCTGGGGTCGAAGCTGGAATGTCTGCCCGCCTAGCCCCACGCTCGCTGCCCTCCACCCTCAGCCTTTCATTCTCTCCTGGCACTGCGACCCAGGGAAGCGGCTTGTTTATTTAATCACTTGTTTGTTTCCTGTCTGCCCTTAGAACACAAGTTCCATGAGCATGTGGCCTGGGTGTCTTGTCCACAGCCCTCACTGCAGGGCCTAGAACAGGGCCTGGCGGAGACTTCACCAAACCCCGCAGAGCCGGTGTCCCCTTCTCAGTGTCCCGGGAGGGAGGCGCTACTGCCACCTACTTGGCAGGCAGAAACTGGGGCCAGGAGAAGGGGGCTGTGGCTCCAGGGAGCAGGAGCCCGGATTGCCTGAGTCCCAGCACGACCTCATCCAGGTAGACCCAAGTTCAAGCTCGATGACCTCAGGCGAGCCCCTCGGCTCCAAGCCTCCTTGCCCAGAGGCCCAAGCCTCAGGGACATGAAGTCACTGGCTTGCCACTGTCAGCACCTACTGTGGTTGATGTCATGACCCACAGAGAGCCACAGGGACTGGGACAGGGCGGGCTCAGCCAACCGCTGCCCAGCCCCCACACTGCTCCCAAACTTCCCTTCAGGGAGGCCAGCCACAATTTGGCGATTGTTAGAGAACTTTTTTTTCCTTTTGGGAGGAAAGCTGCAAGTCATTAAGGGCTGCTCCCGGCCTGCGGGTCACCATTTCCTGTTTAGAAGAAAGAATCATCTCTCCTTTGGAACATGGACTCCCCCCAGCCTGACTCCGGGCTGCGACCCTAGCTTGCCGGCTGCCGTGCCGGCTAAGCCACCCGCAGGAAACTGGCACCTTTGGCACCTTTTGTGCTTAGAAAGGACACTCTTTCTGCTGACCCCAGGAGGGCCCCAGAGGTGAGCTCACCACCGCACTGGCCACCAGGTGGGGGTGAATTGCCACCGCCCAGGCACTAGCTGGAGGTCCCCCCATCCTCGAGCAGGAAGCTGAATGACCCCTACCCTTTGGCCTGGCTTCTCACCCTCCTGGCTCCAGCCAGCCAATTTCCTTGCATCAAAGGCCATTTGGTACCCAGCAGCCAGACAGAGGTGTGGGCCTGCCTGACAGGGAGGCCAGCCCGAGCCCTTGGGAACGGGAAGGACATCCTCTGCTTCGACAGGGGGGGCGGCCAACTCCACCCTGAGAGCTGCAGCACTGGGCCAAAGCCACCGGCAGGCCTATCTAGTTGATGAGACCCAGGAACCCAGCTGCAGAACTCGAGTAAGAGCCAGCTTGCCGGGAGCAGGGGTTGTGCACAGGGCCCCACTGCTTGCTGGCCAGTCATCTCCACACCACCAGAGAGGTCCAGGGAAATCTCATTGGCACAAGAGCCCTTCAGTTAAACCAGGACTCCAGACCCACAAGATGTTTCCAAGGACAGGATTTAAGGCTGTGTCAGAAATATCTAAGCTCCAAGAATCCTGACTCCTCCTCCCTTCCCAGATACCTTCTAAAATACCTACCGAAGTCCCCCTCCGTGGCACATGCCTCTGATGCCAGGAAGATTGCTGACTAGAGCCCAACCTGTGCAACTTGGACTTAGTGAGACTCTGTCTCAAAACAAAAAATTTTTTAAAAAGGGCTGGGTGTGTAGCCCAGTGTGAAGACCTAAGTTCAATCCCCAGTACTGCAGAAACAATAAAAACTACCCCACTACAAGACCAACTAGACTTCATAATATATAAATTAACACTTTATTGAATATCAATAAACTGTACATATAGCTATACAAAAATGTTCCCTTATACAAAATGTTGTTTGAAATATAAATACCAGTGTACCTTTAAAAATGTAAACATCTTCCTCCCAGGCCCACCTGTCGGGCCCCCAAAATAGTCCTGGGAGACACATGGGTCAGGCCGAAGCACCCCGCTTGGCCCCTGACAAGTGATGGCCATTACTCACAGTCCCTTTTGAGACATTGTTAAACTGCCCATGAAACAGGTGTTGCCGTGACAAACAGGAGGCTGAAATAGCTGCCCGGGCCCAGGGGCATCTGGAGGTCTACACTCGTCCTCCAGTCCGTCCTTGTGTCCCGAAAGCGCCCCAGTGGCCATGGACGCATCCCGGAGTGGATTATTGCATAGTTAGTCGCACCTTGAGGAAGGTGGCCTGAGGGTTCCTTGGGGAGGGTGGAGGTAGGGGTGTCGGGTCCCCTGACTGGGTTGGGAGCTTCCCAGCCAGTCAGTTGCTTTTGTCCTGTAGCAAAAAGCAGCTGTATCCAAACAGCTCTGGATACACAAACCACACAGGGCCCGGCTCAGGAATGCACCCTACATGCTGCCAGGAAGGGCTCCAGGCAAAGGGCACCGGAAGGCCTCTCTCAGTATCCCCCAGACCCTAGAGCGAACAGAACAGAACTAGAAAGTGGCTTCACCAAAGTCCTAAGGGACAGATGCAGCCGATGGGTGCTTGGAAGGGAACTCTGGGTGGTGGGAAGGATGGGCTCCTTCCTCCTGGAGTTGGGGGCTGCAGGGAGGGCCGGAGAGGTGGGAGGTCAGCGGGGCCCCCCCAAGCAGCCGGACTCTTGGTGTTTGTGGAGCAGGGACATGCGGGAGAAGGTGCGGGAGCACATCTTGCACTGGTACTTCTTCACGTCTGAGTGGGTCTGCAGGTGAGCACGTAGGTTGGAGCGATCGGCGAAGGCACGGCTACAGTGGGAGCAGGAGAAGGGCTTCTCACCTGGGGACAGAAAGACAGAGGACATGAGCTTGGATGACAGCGGCACTTCCTGCGGTGCCAACCCACACCTCCCAGGCTTTAGAGCCCAGCTCACCCCAACCTGAAGGCCTGGGTTACATTAAACAGACCCAAGCCAAGGCTGGCCTCTGGAGCTGGCCGCTTCCCACAGCAGAGCCATGGAGCTTCTCACTGGTGACCTGGGGCCATCCCTCCCCGGGCATGTGGACACGGAAGGTGTTCCCTGAGCAAGCCTCCTGTCATTTGGCTCTGTGGTCTCCATATTCAAGACAGCAAAGGGAGGCACAGAAAGGAAGTGGCATGTTCAGGGTCACGCGGCAGGACTCCCAAGCCCTTGATTTTAACCAGTAGACAGGGGCCTCCTGGTCAAGTGAGGCTGTGGCTGGCCTTCCTCATTATCAGCCCTGGAGTCATTCCCAGATTTACTTTGTCTGGGGACAAAGCGTAAGAGGCTGTCTTAAGTTAAGGCCTCCCTGCCCCCACCTCAGAGCTGGTTAGGCCACTCCTCCAAGCCCAGCCAAAGGCCTGCAGCACTGCAATCCCACATCTGTCTGTCCATATCAGACCACCTCGCACAGCGCCAGGAGCCTCCCTGAGCTCACTCCAAGCCCCAGCCCCAGGCCTGGGAGCCCCAAGAGGCCACTGAAACTTGTAGCCCTGACACATCTGCCTGGTCAGTGCTACATTATAGGATGTCTTGTGGGGGGGAGTATACAGTAAGCACTCAATAAGGGCTCACAGAATAAACAAATCTGCTTTTTTAAAAAAAGGATTCAATCAGGAGCAGTGGTACATGCCTGTAGTCTCTGCACTTGGGAGGCTGAGGCAGGAGGATCAGGAGCTTGAGGCCAGGCTGGGCTGTATAGCCAGACTGTCTCAAGAAACAAGACAAAAACAAACAAAAAAGCTGGGCATGATGGTGCATGCCTGCAATCCCAGCACTCGGGAGGCTGAGGCAGGAGGATCACTGCGAGTTCGAGGACCCTATCTCAAAAAACTAAAAATCAAAGAAGTTAAAGCCTCTGAGAAGCCTAACTCCTCAGTCAGACACCTTTTCATAGTATCTGCCCCAATCAAGAGAATATAGTTCCCCAAAACGGTGACAATGTTGTGTTTTGCTTTTTTCTTAGAGGTACGCATTTTCCAAAACTTAGTCATAATAGTAATCCATTAAACATCTATTGGAGGTCCTATGATGTGCCAAGGTCTATAATATTGTATATTCTTCTTCAAACAGCAAGTGTCCTCCAACCTCAGCCTGCTACGCTCGACCCATCTGTTAAAGCCCAGTTCAGGAATCAAGAACTGGAAACAAACTCCTTCACCTGTGGGTGCTGTGCTGAGCTGCCGGGGTGGGAAAGAGCCCGAGCCTCCCACTCCCAGGAATGTACTGAGACCCCCCAAAGCTGGCCTGGGGGTGCACAAAGGAGGAAACCACTGTGCTGTGGGGCAGCCCTGCCAGGGCCCTGAGGCAAGGACACCTGAGCACTAGCCTGTGGGGCTCCCCCAGGGCCCCGGGCTCCTCCTCACCCCCACTACCAAGAGCTAAGGGCTGCGTCGGACACCCAGACAGGGAAGAGGATGGAGCCATCTGTGAGGCGGGGTGGCAGCGGCACCCTCCCAGCCGGCATTCACGGTGTGACTGGGCAGAAAGGTGGACAAAAGGGAAGGGGACCTTCGAGGCCACTGCCATGGGGCGGGGGTGTCTGCCCCCACCCTCACCCATCCCTAGAGCCCCAGACGCCTTTATGGTACTCCTGGCAAGTGTGAAATCGGCACCAGGCCGGCGGGGACAAAGGCCGCTGAGGGGAGCACTGTACATGTGATACCCCCGGGATTAAAGGGGCCCGCCACACTGTGGCCCAGCAGCTGCGGCTGGAACAGGTGCTGGGCACCCCTGCCCCGTGCACCTGCTCCGCCCCTCCCCGCCCCCACACCCTGGGCCACCATTAAGGCGCACAATGGGAGTCAATGGGGACAGCGATGGTGCATTTCAACAGGGTTTTGTGTCTGAGCCGAGCCTTTACATTAAAATGACGTCCGGAGGGGCGGGCAGAGGCTGGGGGCCACCCGGAGAGGATCCTGAGGTTTCAGCTCCCTCAAAATGGAGCTTCGGGAGCTGGGGGGAGAGGGGAGAAAGCCAGGCAGGTGGGCCTTACACTTTAACGCAGGCCCACCGTGGACAAGGAGAAGTGGGCAGCCTTAGTCAAGAGTGAGGATGCCCCAGGCCTGCAAAATGCCAGGCCCCCAGCCACCTCACTGACCCTCACTGCCCCGAGGCCAGCCACGGGGACGGAAAGGCCAACTGGCCAGCCCGACCCCGGCCGACAGTGGCGACCCTTGAGCCTTCTCCCTCCAGTCACTCTTCAGAGATCTCCCTCACACACCACAGCCCCCGCCACGCTCTTTCCTCGGGTCCACAAAACCCTCTGCACATTTCACATTGTTTTTGAAACCCCCAGACAAGGCTGTTTCCTGCCAGCAAAGTTGTTCCCGGGTCTGCACGGCAGAATTGGGTGGGGGTGGGGAAAGCAGCTCAGAAGCACTCGCTACAAGAAATTGTCATAAAGGGATTAAGACTTTTCACACCCACCCTACAAAGCATGTGCTACCATAATCCGATTGGAGGCTCAGAGAAGTTAAATTGCCTGCTCAAGGTCACACAGCATAGAAGCATAGCAACTACCTCCTACCATTTTCCTGAGAGTTTACCATGTACCAAGTACTTTGTTTTTTGTTTGATTTTGATTTGGTTTGGGTTTTTGCAACAAATTCTGGTTATGTAGTTCAAGATGGCTTCAAATTTACAGCAATCCTCCTGCCTCGGCCTCCTGAGTGCTGGGACTACAGGTGTGGGCCACCATGCCCGCTACACTCAGTACCTCGCCTGGCGCTTCCTTCCTGCAATCTTGCTTTTAACCTGCCCAGGAGGGGGGTTTCTCACGCCCTTGGTAGAGATAGGAAAACAGGCTGAGATGAAACACCACCTTGAGGTCTGATGAAACCCTCAAAGCAGCCTTCGGGTGGGGGAGTCTGACACCCCGTGTGGCTGGGATGGAGGGCTGGGGGAGGTGGAGCTGGCTGGGGCGCCTCACACCTGGCCGGAACAGCAAGGTGCTGGTTGCACCTTTCCCAGCCCGGCTCCAAGGCATTTGGCTGAGGAACTGTGGAGCCGGCAAAGGTATCTGGCCATCTGTTTAGCAGATGAAGGAATGTTCGGCCACACATTCCCAAAGGACCAGGACCTGAACTTGAACTACAAGGGGACTCAGAGCCTCCGTGTCCACAATGCTGAAGAGAACACTAAGCCCAGAATCCCAAATGCTGGTGGAGGAGGCAGCAGGTACAGGGAGGAGGGGCCACTCACCGGTGTGGGTCCGGACGTGGCCCTGTAGCAGCCAGGGCCGGGAGAAGGCCTTCCCACAGGTGGCGCAGACGCAGGGCAGCGTGTGGCTCCGGATGTGCATCTTAAGGGCGCCCAGGCTGAGGTATTCCTTGTTGCAGTATTTGCAGTTGAAAGCCTTTCGAGACTGGAGGTCCTTGGCCACAGAGAGCCGAGCCAGCTGCTTGGGCAGTTGGCCCAAGCCTGGGAAAGCAGCGTAGGCCTCCGCCTCCAGGGAAGAGGTGGAGGTGGAGGAGAAGGACGAAGGAGCTGGCGAGGGTGGGCTGGGGGGCTGGGAGCCCTTCCCACTGTCCTCGTCAGACAGGGAGGTCAGCTCAGCCGCCCTGGGGCTCTCCTGGGGCTGAAGCGAGGCCCAGCCGAGGGGTTGGGCCAGAGGCGCCAGGACAGAATCCCAGATGAGTGTAGGCAGAGAGGCCGTGGGGTTGAGGACCTCCGGGGGCGGGATGGCTGCCAGCAGGTGGGCCTGGTCGTAGGGCTGCTGGAAGGTAAACTCTGCGGAGAAAGGAAGGAGGGGGTCAGGCGTTCATTAAATCCCACAGTCAGTCAACCAACACTAGTCCTCTTCGGGTTGGGGGCTAAGGCTAAGGGGCTGGCATGGAAGCCTTGACAGGTGAGTGGGACGACTTCTGAGCAGGACAGACGGGGTTCCTCCACACCCAGGCCACCGACCTGTCTCCCCCAAGGAGGACGCTTCAGGCCCCAGCCCAGCTGGGCGGTCACCCGGGGCCCCAGGGTCCTCAGCCGAGCCTCCCCCTCCCCCAGCCCTCTGGACTCCGGACTCTAACAGCCACTGGCCGCGGGCTCTCCTGGCACAGCCTCCCCTCCTGCCTACACTCGCGGAGCTTCTTCGCCTCCCTACGGCCAGGGCCCCACTGCAGCTACACAGCCCTCCCCCAACCCTCGAGATGTGGGACTGTGATCCACCTGCTCCGCGTCTCCGGGGTCCTCGCCTCCTCTCTCCCTGTAGAACTCCTCTAGCCCGGTCCCCCAACACACAGCCTTGACCCGTGTCTCCGGACCCCTCCCTAGCGCCCGACACCCTCCACTCACCCGGAGAGGAATCTTGCAGCTCGCTGTAGTTTGGCTTGCGGTTGGGGTCAGAGGGCTTCCTTACTAGGAAAGAGCGCGGCATGGTTGCCGAGGCACAGGGGCTGCCGGGTCGCTACAGGGCCGCGGGTCACACTACTCGCGAGGCCGTGCAGCGGCGCTGTAAGTGGAAACGCGCCGCCACCTCCCTTAAGTAGCCTGCCGGTAGGGCGTAATCAAGGAAGTCACGCCCCTTTGTCAAGGCTGCACCAATCACAGGAGCGCCTCCGCCGGAGGCCACGCCCCAAGCAGGTGCGCCGGTCGCAGGCGTGGCTGGCGCCGCGTGGCGCTGGAAGCTTGCGGCGGGCATCTCCCGCTCCTCGGCGTGAGGCTGCGCCGCTCGCCCCCGCGACCGGCTGTCGGTCGGGGCGCCACGCCGGGCGCAGTGGCCTCCGGGAGGCAGGGGCCCAGCTGGACGCCGCGCTGCCCGCCCAGGCCCGGGTTTGAGCGCCTCTGGCGCCCCCTGGCGCTCCACGCCGCCCTCCGGGACACCTGACCTTCGCTAAATCCGCCTCCGCCTGGGGCCTGGGATGGGGCGGAAATTTCCTGGTCGGCTGGCGCCTCGCCGAGAGCGTGGTTTTGACGCGGGGGCGGGGGGTGGACAATATACAGTGCTGGGGCGACGCGAGGGAATGGCCGTCCTCCCCTGGCTGCTGGCAGTGTGAAATGCCACAGCCTTTTGGCAAAGCTACCTGGCCCCATGTAGCAAAACGCACCGGTTCCCGCGCTTGGCCAGGGTCTGGCGAGCGCCCGCCAGGACTGGGAGCCAGGCGCTGGCCGGGGGCGGCGGGTGCAGCCCGGACGGCACAGTCGGGTCCCCCGCGCGGGACTCCGGCGGTGGGGGAGGCAGACGGTAACAGCCGCTTCTGACGCCGTGAGACGCGCTCTGATGGGGCGCAGACCCCGGGCGCCGGCAGGCAGAGGCGGTCCCCTGACGGCGCAGGTGCGACTCCCCGAGGACGTGCAGGAGCAGCCGGGGAGGCCCGAGTCGGACCCGGAGCCACTGAGGAGCCCAGAGCAGCCCGGCGGGCTCGGGCTCAGTGCCTCCAGTCGCCAGAGGAGCTTGGACTTTGCCTGGAGGGCGCGGGGAGCCGCGGGGGGGGGGGGGGGTTCCAGCTGAGGACGGACGGGCTGGAGTCTCCCTCGCCAGGAACGGCCGCTGCGGGCCGAGGCGGACTCACCTCCGAGCATCTGCAGGGTCCGGAACAAGCCCCCCACACTGGCTTTCTTTGCGAAGCCCGAAGTCCCCCACACCAGGGGCTGTTGTCCGGGTCACTACAGCTCCGTCTCCCCTCATTCTCGGGGTGCAGAGGTGCGCAGGCAGCACAGCGGGCCGCACTGTCCCCCGGGCCAGTGTGGTTCAATCGTGGACTCCACACGAAGCAGAAGGGGGAGACGACGCCCCTCAGCCAAACCCTCCCAGGCTTCCCACTCGCTCAGAGGAAAAGCCCAGGTCTGCAACTCTCATCCGACTCCAGTGGACCTCAATTTGAGCTCACTCCTGGCCCCCCTTTCTGTCCCTCCTGCATCCCAGCGGGTTCCCACCACAGGACCTTGGCACCTGCCACTCGGCCTCCTCCCCCCAGGTCTCTCTTTAGGCTTCCCCTTGGCTAGCTTCTTTTAGTTTGTTTAGGCAGCATCCCACCAACCTCCCAGCTTCCTTAGTAAGGAGAGAAATGCAAATTAAAACCTCCGTGAGATACCATTTCACACCCCCGGAGGACAAGTAAAACTTTGGTCGATGTCAAGCGTCGATGAGGGTGTGCGGGGCAAGCCTTCTCGCTGCCCAGGGGCTCTCAGCCCGGGGCACATTAGGGTTCCCCAGAGAACTCTCCGAAGCAGCCCAGCCCTGCCGTTCATATCCTGATTTAATTACCAGGGATGGGGCTTATGTGTTCACACTTTGAAAACCTCTCCCGGTTCTCCTGAAGAGCATCGGAGTTAGGAGTTGAGGCCCAGCTCCAAACCCAGAGCTAACAAAAGAAAACAGGGATCACACTGTCACGCTTGGAAGAGCAAACAAAAGAGAACAGGCCGGGTGAGGTGGGCAACGCCTGTAACACCAGCTGCTTGGGAGGCTGAGGCAGGAGGACCACAAGTTTTAGGTCAGCATGGGCAACTTACCAAGACTCTGTCTCAAATAAAAATGAGCTAGCCATGGCGGCTGAAGGCACATACCTATAACGCCAGCACTTTGCGAGGGTGAGGCAGGATGATCACACGTTCTAGCCCAGCCTAGGCAATATAGCAATTTAGTAAGCCCCTGTCTCAAAAAATAAAAAAGGGCTGTGGATGTAGCTCAGTGCAAAGATCCTGTGTTCAATCTCACTACTAAAAAAAGAAAAAGAAAAGAAAAAAGACAATGTTGAGCAAAAGAAGTCACAAATGAGCCTGCCTACCTGCCAGGTGTGGTGGTGCATGCCAGCACCAGGAGGCTGAGGCAGGAGGATTAAATTCAAGGCCAAGGGCCGAGGATTTAGCTCAGTGGTTTCGCTGCCTGCTGCGCAAGCGCAAGGACCCCAGTTGGATCCCGGGTACCAAAAAAAAAAAAAAGTTCAAGGCCAGCCTGAACTATAATGAGATCCTGTTGAAAGAAAGAAGAAAGCAAGCTGCCTGGGATGCATATCTGTCATCTCAACACTTAGGAGGCTGAGGCAGAAGGATCTTGAGTTTGAGACCAGTCTAGGCTACACAGTGAGACTTTGTCTCAAACAAGTCAGAAACAAATGTATAGTTGGATTTCCACATGCTTCCAAAGCAGGTCAATCAAACACTATTTTGTTTTGGGACACACACACACACACACACACACACACACACACACACCCAGATATGTACATGGAGGTGATAAAACTATAAAGAAACGCAGGTAAATGTTTACTACAATTTTAAATTTTTTGTTTTGGTACTCAGGATTGAACCCAGGGAGCACTGAATTGAACTCGGGGCCTCATTAAACGGCTAAATTGCCCTCGGGACCCGTCTTCCATTCCAGGACCCTACTCGGTTGTCTGCAAAGCAAGTAGCGGGGGCTCAGGAGAGTACCGGCCGAGTGACTCCACCTCCGGCTCCACCTCTTCCGGCTGGGTCACCGGGGCGAGTTACCCAGTCTCTCTGGGCCTCCGTTTCCTCGACCGTGGAGAGTAGACGGCTCCTGTCTCCTGGTGATGCCGGAGGGAAAATGAGCCCAGCGGCCTCTACTTTTCGAGGCACCCACTGGCCCCGCCCGGGCCTCGCGAAATTTCCTGCTCCTGCACCTGCGGTAGGCGGGCGGACACCGCCCAGGCCCCAGGTGGGACGGGGCTGGCGAGGCCGGGAAAGCCGCGCTGACCCTTGGAACCACGGCCTCAGGTCCTCCCACAAGCGCACGACCTCCGCGGCCGGGCTGGCGCGACCCGACGCAACTGGCGCTCCGCTCTGCGCCGCCAGCCCGAGGGCTCCGGCTTTAGGGCCGCCCCACGCCTCGGGGAGCGGTCCTCTGGCGCCCTCTGCTGGCCAGGACGCCTCCCTGCGACTGTTGCGGAGTGCTGGTTTCGGGAGGTGAAAACTTTGAGAGCAAGCTGGGATTCTTTTTTCTTTTTTTTGGCGGTACCGGGGATTGAACTCAGGACCTTGCGCTTGCCAGGCAAGCGCGGTGCCACTGAGCTGCATCCCCAGCCCCAAGCTGGGGCTGTTTAATGTGACCAGGAAAAGCATCTGGAAGGAAGATAAGTTGTGTTGTTTAGTTCAAGTTTAGTTTAGTTTGTTTAGTGACAGTGTCTCTCGGAAGGCTGAGGCAGAAGGATCGCCGCAAGTTCGAGGCCAGCCTGGGCTACATTGAGAGACCCTGTCTCAAAAAACAAAAAAACTAGTGAGCGGCCGGGGATGTAGCTTAGCGGCACAGCGCCTGCCTGGCAAGCACGAGGTCCTGAGTTCAATTCTCGGTACAAAAAAAATTGATACAGGATCTCGATATGTAGTCCAGGCTGGCCTTGAACTCACTAGCCTAGGCTGACCTCAAACTCCCAGTGATCCTCCTGCCTCAGCCTCCAGAATGCTGGGATTACAGGCATGCACCACCATGCCTGGCCCTGGCAGGAAGATAAATTTAAATAAGCTCCTGTATTTCTACAGGTGTCTATTCATCACTTAAAGCAAAGCCAGTAACTAAAAATGTGGTTTCTGGTGGCACACTCTTGTAATCCCAGCACTCAGGAGGCTGAGGCAGGAGGATCACTGCAAGTTCTAGTTCAGCTTTGGGTGCATAGTGAGTTCAAGGCCAGCCTGAACTACATAGCTAGACCCTGTATCCAAAAAATGAAGATAGGGCTGGGGATTTAGCTCAGTGGTTCCACCGCCTGCCTTTCAAGTGCAAGGATCTGAGTTCGATCCCTGGTACCAAAAAACAAACAAAAAAATGAATAAATAAAAAATGAAAATCTGATTTACAAGTAGCCAACCAAAGAAGAAAGTCTCCATCCCAGATCTTCATTTCCCTCCCCCAGAACAAATATTTTCCCCATGTCTTGTGTGACCTTCCAGAGATGCCTTTATGTAGAAAAGGATGTACTGTATTCCTTTCCACACCATGTTTTGAAAATCATTCCGTATCCCTGCATGAATCTACCTTAATCTTTCAGATTATTTTTGTCACTTAGCCTGCCCGGTGCCACTGAGCTGCCTTCTCCGTCCCCCCTTAAACTTTTACAAGGCTGCAAGGCCCCACCCCATTGCCCCCTCTGCTCACTGGGGTTGGAACCCCGGGAACTTTGCACTGGGCTATGTTGCCAGCCCTTTTTCTTTTCTTTCTTTCTTCTTCTGGGGTTTTTCTTTTTTCTTTTTCTCTTTCGAGAAAGTGTCACTAAGTCAGTAAATTGCCCAGGCTGGGCTTGAACTTTGATCCTCCTTCCTCAGACTCCCAGAGTACTGAGATTACAGGCGTGGTCCACCTTACCCAGTGGCAGACTTCTTTGGTGTATTGTACCATGATCACATGATTTATCCCACCAGGGGCCCGATGATGAGCAGATGACAAGCAGTTAGGTTAGATTACAAATTTTTGCTCCTACAAACACCATGACAATCTCAGGGGGTTCCTTATGCACACATCTCGGCAGTCCAGCTCAAATGATAGGTCCCAGGGAGACGAGACATTTGTCCAAATGCCCTCCAAAAGATCAAACTAAAATACAGCCCTCCAGCAGGGAGCTAAGGGTTCCTTTTCCAAACCTGGCCAGTCCAGGTCATTGCCGGAACTTGTTTATCTTCACTCATCTGATAAGGGAAATAGGATTTTCCCTGCTGCAATTTGCATTTTGTGTGAATGGACAGAATGTGGGGTTTTTGGCCTGATTTGTCCTGAGTTTGTGTGTGTGCACACGCATACGCTGGGGACTGAACCGAGGACCCGGCACCTGCTGGGCCAGCGCTGTGCTACTGAGCTACACCCTCATTCCCCTGCTGAGCAGTTTTACCCACTCCAAAGCCATTTCCTTTTCTCAGCATGCTAAACTATGTGCCAAGTACTTTTGGTCACCCAGCTGACCCACTTCTAATTTTTCTTTCTTCCTTCCTATTTTTTTTTTTTCTTTCCAGACAGGGTCTCAGATTGACCTTGAGTTCAGACTGACCTTGAACTCACTATGTAGCCCAGGCTGGCCTCCAACTCCTGGCAATCCTCCTGCCTCAGCCTCCTGAGTGCTGGGATTACAGACGTGTGCTACCACACCCAGCTGTATTTCTAATTTCCCTCTTTAATTAGACCATTGATCAGCGAAGGAAGCCATCCAGTGTGGGTGTTAATCTTGACCCAGAGGAAGACACGGCCCAGGGAAAGTTCAGGGAATGAGTCAGGGCTCAACTTCCACCTTCATCCTTGATTGAAAAAACAAACCCTCTTCCAGTGTCTCACACTGGCCTGCAGACAAACAGTGAGTCAGCTTGGGCCTGGCCAGGTAAGTCACCATCCCAGGACACAAACTGCCTCCAAGGAAAGTTGCTGGGTCAGGGTCCAAGTCTGTTGGTCTTTCGAACCACCTGCTGTGTCAGAGGCTGACTCTCAGGTGTCCCTGACGCCACCCACGCCCACGGGGACCACGGCACAGGACAGGGTGATCAGATTATCATTGGCCAAAGAGAAAGCCCCAGGAATAAAGGAACAGAACCTACAGAATTGCACCAACACATTAAGGGCTAAAAGGCTCGGGAAGCTGATGCAGGAGGATGGAAAATTCTAGGCCAGCATGGACAACTTAGCAAGACCCTGTTTCAAAATAAAAAATAAAAAAGGGTGGGGTGGCACAGTGGTAGAGCACTTGCCTCGGACACACAGGGTTCCAGCCCCAGGATGGGCAAGGGGGTGGCTTTCAAGATAACCTTAACTGGGAACCCCAATTACAAAATTAACCTTAGTAACCCAATGAATGTTAACTTCCAAAAGAGAATTTCATGCTACTCATGAGTAGATCTGAGTTACTGAATTGTACTCAAATACTGTATTTTGAGTCTGGCCAATAACAATTGTGTGGAAATCAGTCTTTGCTTGCTCTGTGTCCCATCTCCTTGCGATGTAGGTCCACGGCGCCTGAACATGACAGCACCATGTGGGCTCAGCGGAGCCTATCTCCTCAGCTGGGAGTGAGCGCCAGAGCAGGACCTGCTCCCTCTCGGGTGCTCAGGAAGATCAGCTGGATAAAAAGACTGAGTGAGCAGCTATCATAATAATCGAGTGAGAAGCGTCTAACAGGCTGTCTTGTGCAGAAGTCACATAACTTCTGGGCAGGCTGAGGCTATCTGTGTTTTTGTTTTTGTTTTCCTTTTTTGGTTTTTGGAGACAGGGTCTTGCCTTGTATTCCAGGCTGGACTTGAACTCACTATGTAGCCCAGGTTGTATTGAACTCACAGCTATCCTCCTGCCTCAGCCTCCCAAGTGCTGGGATAACAGGTGTGCACCACCATGCTCAGTCTTTGAGGTTATCTTTGAACAAGACCCAAGAATCTGGTTGCTTCTGAGGAGGGTTGTGGGATTGAGGAGAAAAGGAGGCTTTCTTGTCCTACAAACCTTTTTGGAAGGATATTACTGTGTCACCATTCCAAGTTAAATACATTTTCATTTAAAAAAATTAAATAGGCTGGGGATTTAGCTCAATGGTGCCGCTGCCTGCCTTAAAAGTGCAAGGTCCCCAGTTTGCTTCCCAGTACCAAAAAAAAAAAAATTTAAAAGTCAGGTGTGGTGTTGCACATCTGTAATCCCAGCACTAGGGAGGCTGAGGCAGGAAGATCGCTGCAAGTTCGAGGCCAGCCTGAATTACATATGGAGACCCAGTCTTTAAAAACTCCCAAACCAAAATAAACCCAGCCAGATGTGATGACACACACCTGTAATCCCAGCACTTGGGAGGCTGAGGCATGAAGATCTCAAGTCCGAGGCCAGCCTGGGCTGTACAGTGAGTTCAAAGCCAGCTGGGACTACATAGCCAGACCTTGTTTCAGAAACCAATAGCAGCAACAACACAACAAAACAAAAACCCAACCACAAAACAAAGCAGACGTCAGCTGCTTCTGACATTTGGTTTCTTCCCCAGTCCAATGACACACTAAGAGGGCAGCCAGCTACCCTGGCTGCCGCATACTGCAGGAGTTCGGGAGAGAAGCAGGTGGGCACCTGGGAAGTGGAAGCTATCCAAACCTGCTGGTGGATGTGTGGCAGGGTGGGGCCTGACAGACCACACCTACCCCTCACCGCCCCGGCCTGCCCTTGGCCCTGGATCAGAGCCACTTTCCCAGCAAGTCCAGGAGGGTGACTGTGTGGGGGGCTGTGCTGGAGGCGCTCATGCTTCTCCAGCTCTCAGAGCTTCTGAGATCAGCTCCCCTCTAGCCTCACCTCACCTCCACCCTCCTGGCAGAAAGCTGACTCAGCCCCCACCAGATAGCCGCCTTTGCTACCTCTCGACCTTCCCCACCTCTGGACCACAGGGTGAGAGCTTGATGGCCAGGAAGGGGCTGGGGTGGAGCTCAGTGACAGAGCCCTGCTGGCTTTTGCAAGCCCCTAGATCCATCCCCAGCACTGCAAGGGAAAGTAAAACCCATGAGCACGTGAGTTTCCTTTTTTTTTTTTTTTTTTTTGAGACAAGGTCTCACTATGTGGTTCTGACTGGCCTTGAACTCACTGTAGCCTAAACTCACGGCAATCCTCCTGCCTTGTCCTTCCAAGAGCTGGGGTTACAGGTGTGTGCCACCATGCCCAGCTTGATATCTTGTCTTAGTCAGATTTATCCCGTCTGTTTACAGTCATCTAGAATGTTTTTGCACTTTTTGGTCTACTTCTGGTGCTGTTTTTGTTTATTGAGAATTTTATAATTTGTCATTTCATTTTTCTGTCATATTGTGGACTCTCAGGAAGGGATACAGATGTGTTTACTTCTACCATATTAAAATACAAGTGTCTGTGAGTTGCTTTTAGAAGATA